AATTCTTGGTTGTTTGCTCAAACCCAACTTCCCCAATTTTCGCGGAGGCATCAATACGACAGTCATTGTCTCATCAGTCGCTGTTCAGAAAGAAGTCAGCAGTAAACCATCAGAAGTAATATTGTGATTTATTATTGTAATATTTGTTCACAGACCTTAGTAGAAATATTTTTTATATGTTGGTGTTACAATAAAGAATTCCAAAGTGGCCAATCGGTGTTTTGGTTTTTGCGTCCGTTATTACTAAGCGTTTCTGAAAAACTGCGAGGAACAGCGTGAGCCCGAGCGTAGCAAGAGCTGGGCATTAACGGTTTACGAGACGTGGCTGACAAAGACACTCTTAGACGGAAAACACATAAGATACTATGTAAATAGCAAAGTGAACCGACCCTTTGATCGTTCATCTTTCTGTAATTTTGTGGTGTCACCCTTTTTATCGTTTAATTACAAATTTGCTATATTATTTTAGTTGTTATTACTATTATTACTATAATTTTATACCTTGTCCACATTTTTCTCCGTATCGCATACTGTAATTTGCTACATAGCTGCTATAACAACGTTTTGTTATTAGTATTGTGTAATGTTTATTCATTTATTTTTTTTGTCGTTTTCGAGCAAATTAGATGCAATATTGTACTGAATTCTGAAAATTCCTTGCTGCGTCATTATTACTGTTTTTGGAATAAAGCAAAAATTCGTTAAGATTATTATTATCATTTATTATCAACCGCACTAAAATTCCGTTGGTTTGGAACACCTAACATGTGTTCTGGTTGTTCGAATAGTTATCTTCCGACTACATCAATAATTGTGGACAGTGTAAATGACAGTCCTTGATCCGCCCATTTGACATCGAAATTATCTAACAGACATCAGAATGATCGAAAGCATTTTCCCTTAATTTAAACATATGTATAAATCCGAATGAGGATAAACATAATACTAACTTCTTCCTGAGTACATATTAAGTCGAGGTAACACGGGAGAAACAACAATAAAACACTAGCTCTCTATCTTTGTAAATGCAACTGATTTCATTTCCAAGCTGAATTGGAAATACCCTAAGCCAAATGAGCCCACAATTTCCTCTGATTTGCTACATCTAACCCAGATTCTTACCGCAGACTGACGCCACACGCCTTATCAACATAGATCTATGGAGAATCCGTCAATCTCGAGTAGTTATTTGTTTCGCGCAAGAATTATCTCCCTTCATGGACAGTCCCATATGGCTGATACGTGAGCAATCGGTTATGCGTGAATCTGTGTGAAACCTTTGACAGCATTCATGAATGTTTCAGAAGAATCCTCTGCCCGCTGTCAGCATTACATGGTATCCTCACGCCTCCTTAGGGATGAACATGATAACCTGTACGATGCTCGAAAATACATCGTGATAACCCTAATCCTTACCCGATCCAGTCAGCACTAATAAAAATTGAGTACTTGAAGCGAAATGGATGAGATTTTGTCAAGCTAACCGATTTCTTTGACAACCTATATTAAATATTATTGAACCTTTGTTGATTTCCCATAGCCACATAGATATATATATACTTGCGACATAGATAGGTGCTTCCGCTTATTTTACTGTTTCAGCTATATTACGGGTATTTTCAAGTGCGAAAGTGAAGGCGCAACACACTCGCCTAAGCCACAACTTCCTGAGGAGGTATAATATGGCGCAAGACACCGACAGAATTTCTGGCACCTGACTTATTCGTGTGTCGTTTTCCCATAACCGAGTTAGGTAGATAGGTGAAGTTAGCGGAATTTCATAGATTTCTTATAGTTGCCTTTCAACTGTAACCAGGAGTTCAAGACGATTCACAAACGGTCCATAACGTTGGCCAATAAAGTTATAGGGATATTATTTAGACACATTCATAAGTTTGGCCAAGCAGATAAGCTTCATCAAATGAAAATTCATTTTTAGAAACATTTTCAGTACAAGATGATGCCGGCCGGTTTTAGTCTTAAGCTAAATAGATCACAACCACTGACTTCAGGTGATATGCGGGCAGTGACGCGATTAGATATGGAAAAACGGAGTGCTATGTATTCGTCGCACATTTGATGTCTAGGCCAAACTTCCCACTGTGTACATACAATCTAGAAACCTATTAGGTTATATGTATTGGACTTCTCCGAATATATTTCCTACTGGAATTCCAACTGACATTCCTTTCCAACGTGATTTAGGGCTAAGCAATAAGCAGAATTTATAAGAATAAGCAGCGTAAGACATCAAAGCTCTTCACATCACACTAAACCACCCATTTCAGCACTAAATGAATAGGTATTTTAAGGGCTGGAGATATCGGCATTCATGGATAGTACGAAGTATACTAACGCAAGATCTAACACTCACAACTTCTACAGTATTCTTTCCGCGTAAACCAAAGGCAAAGCAAAACACAAGAGTTGATCGTCCAAATTACGAGTTATATTTCAGGACCAAACTGGAGTGCGTAATGATTACTTAACAACGTAAGCAGGGGAAGTCGGCAAATTGGATCCGTAACCTTGGGAGAAGGATCGGCTCTGGGGGCTGAGATCAGATACATGTCGGTCCAGTTGGAAACTGTGCTCTTCGGTGCCCATCGTTGTGGAGTTACTGAACTCTTGCCGTGATCTATCGTGGGCGGTTTTAGTTGTTAGCGTTGTATAACTAGAAACTCGCGTGGACTTGCTCTGCGTTGCGTAAAGCGGCTGTGCTTCCATTGTTTGACACGCGACAGCTAACTCAGAACTGATACGGACCGGAGGAATCTGACAGTCTAATTAAAACAAAGCATTGTGATGTCCGCTGACCGGTTATGGCGCAATATGATTTCTGTCCAGTGCTCGGAATGCAAATAAAATGAAATTCGACCAAATGCGGGTAAACGGCGGGAAAAACGATGACAACCCGCTACCAAATTAGTTATTCTTTCTAATGAACCATTCTTACAAGCCGGGTATGACAGTAGCAAATAACATTGCGGTGGCGGGTTCAGGTTTTTCTAGGGTAGTGGCACTGAAGTTTAGCTATGATTGGTGTCATGAATCTTGGTGGAAGTATGGCCTTTCGTTCACCGAAATAACCCGCAACCCTTGAAAACAAGAGTCACGGATTAAGGTCCTATGAGCGGCCCACGATTCTGCTAGTCACTGGCAGGCCCTAGCTGCCCGAGAAGGTGAAATGTACGCCTCTTCCGGCTTTGGAGACTTATGTTAGATTAAATGGATGTTGAGAAAACCTGGCCTTTGCCACGGTAATAATACGTTCCCCTGAAACTATGGGTTGTTGGATCTAAACACTACCCCGAGAGGTGAGCACTTAGCTGTGTGAATACACAACCCGAAAGATGGTTCTGAGCTTTGCGCTGAAAATATATGTTAAGGGATCGTGCATCAACGAACGAACGAACGAACGTGACATGAGAGAGCAGTGAATGGCGTGAATGCTTGACTGGAAGCCTTCAGCTAAACAAATCAACTTAGACAGTGAGGGTCAGCGTCCAATGTTCAGTGATGAATGCTCTAGCCAGTAATTCTGGGGAGTTATCTACCGCTACAGTAGCAGGTATCGGATGGTTGGAATTGGACGATTCACTCAGCTTTTTTAAAGAGAGTGTGATGGACCAATTATTCAGTACAACAGTTCTGCAGCTCCGCTTCCAGCACCATGGAGTTTTGTAGAATATGCTAAGTCGTGGCATTAGGTGGCATATGGATAAAAGTACGTCATGCTCACAGCCAATCATAGTTTCAAGAAAAATATGAGATGCACAACCAACACCTCATAGTATACCGTGCCAAGTAAATAGAATTCCATATATTGTATTCAGAGAAATGCTTTTGTCTTTGTATCTCATGAAGTTCAGTTCCAAAATGTTTACATAACACGAATCAGTGATCTATCTACTTTTTTGGTTAAAGTCCTATCAGAAGGCGAATAATGTTTCCGAGGGTGACATAGTAGGCAACATAGGAGGCGGTGATAGTGCAAGGAGAGATTCCAAGTCCTCCGTTATTTTTGGATTTCACTGACATTTGCCGGAATAATTTGGGCATTTGAACAACCTTCGATGCAAATAATGTAAGACTAAGAGGCCTTTGAGAAATTGGTTTACAGAAAAACAGATGACAGTCATAGACGCATGATGCCATATTTACTGATATGCATATTTGAATAGCTGGAGACAACTCACATCAAAATCTAGTGTTTGAAGCCATATCCAAATGCTTCTTAACACTAGAAGGTCATTCCTCTCTTTTACAACTGAACTCATCAGCGCCATACATACTTTCGATTCATTTTAGAAAGACAACTTCTGAAAAGCCACCTGGACTAACTGGTAATTCCACAAATAAAATTAACAGTATGCTAAGGAATTTTAAATTTACACGTCATGAGATAAAGATTCACCACGGTATTTTCTGGGGACCGAAATTATTCTGATAACGATATGTGGTCGTTTTGTGTCTTGCTCGTCGCAGCTGTATCCGTATATGTAAAAAGAATCAACTGAATAAATCGCCCATAATCTCTGTGTCGGACGAGATAAATTGCCTCCCATAGTTGAGATCACTTGGACATGGCTATCAAGCACTGCAGGGTGATATGAATAGTGTCTAAATGCTCATTTCAACCAATCAGTCGTTTATGGCTTAATACATATAGAATTAGAAACAAACACGCTTTCGTGCAGCGAAGGTTCATAGGGCAAGGAAATGTATCGCCCTTTCCGAAGACCTTTAAAATCATAACTATTCCAAAACAACGTCAACTGACGCCAAGAATCAATGAGGCTTATACAACCTAAGCAAAAAGTTTTGTTTGCAAGTATTTCACATAAAAGCTCATTCACATGTATATTATTTATAGGATAAGTTCATGATTCTTGAAATAAACACGATTAAATTATCACGTCAAGTTATTTTACGATTGTTTTGTTAATCTGCTTGAATGTTAGAATTGTTATTTACATTGTCTATGGCGTGAAGTCAAAATGCCAGTCAGGAAAGGTAGTTTCTCACTTTCGTGCTATGTCTGATAATTCTTAAGACTGTAGTCGAGCACTTCATATACTTTCAAATTACAAATATGATCTTCAGGGTAATAATGATAAATCTTTCCGAAATGCCGTCGAAAAACTAATAAACACGTTGCAAAGCCAACTGTTCTCATCTTTAATGGGTTAGATCACTTAATTTTATAGGTCTTATATTTCAGATGTCTTGGAAGTTTATGAGCTAACTGTGACAGGAGACAATAGGGAGTTCTCCAGTGAGCAAGTTCCTGATTCATTGGTTAGTTAACCTTCCACAAATTATGATATAATACCAATACTTTAATTCTTTTTGGCATTTTGGATATCGTAACATAATATAAAATTTTGGGTAATTTTGTCCGATTACTTTTTTATTATATTCCAACCAGTCGGAACTTTAAGGAAATTTTTCATCATATGACACTTTTATCTCCTGGTTTAACAAGGTGAAATTCAGTCTTCACAATTAAGCCTAAAATGTCACATAGTCTATGTTAATCAGTTTAGTGTGTTTCTCTTTGGTATTTCGTTGTATTCCTACAACTACTTGACACTAAGTGCACTACAACACTTTCAATTCAAAGAATCTAATTGTACTCGTTGTGAAATTGATAATAACTGCTTTGGCTTATTCAAGCGCACTTCACATTTTAGGACTATATGGTAATTTTCGGCTGCACTAATCTGACCAAAATAAAATTTTATGACATTAATTATTTAAGCTATATACTTATTCGTCGTGAAGCATACTTTATATATAAGCTCTACTAACGATTAACAGTAGGTGGAACATTTTATCGGCTTCAAGATCATATTCGTCATTTATGACCGCTTAAGATCCTTTAGTTTGAGTATCAGTGACTATTTGCCTTAGATTATACCTGTTCACCACTTTCGTAATTACTTAACTTATATTCAAAGCTAACATCTTGTCATTTTCAACGTTTTCAGTGTATAAAATTCCGAAAAATACTCACCTTCAGCATTCAGAGCTGATGAAGTGGTTATCTTTTAAGTCAATACACAGTAGTCTCCTGAAAATAATTGTCGTAGATTTTTCGTTATATACTAATGTCTTTGATTCACTTGTCATTTCATGGCAGTTTACGCAAGTTCATTCGTGTAAACAGTCACAAAACAAATATTTCTCTTTCTTTTGGTTCCAATCTTCAACTTTCAACACTATTCTCCCAGGATTATATTTTACTTATGTAAAACTGACGGACACCAGAAGTAAAATTTTTAAGTTTTGGTAGGGTATAAATGTGTTGCATGGAATAATGAAGTGTGAGTATCACACAAGAAATAAGGAGTTTTGTATTAATTATAAGATATTCCAAAATCTTGACTTCACCATGGTCAAGGTAATGGTGCTAGAATCGTCCGTATAGTTTAGGTTATAAATTATGTTCTTGAAACTAACATTTCTTCCTTGGGATAAACTTTAAGAGAGATAGAAAAGGATCTATTTCCATAAAAACGCCAATCTCGTGGCAAGATAATTATGTTTATGCTAATAGCAGCCATTTATGTCAGGGGAGTAACGATAACCCTAATTATGGCCTCAAAAATCCATGCAGTGTAACACAGTGTTTATTTAGAGTTTCAGGAAATAATAATAGTGAACAGTAAGTAACAATGGTTGTAACAAGAAAAAATAAATTACAAAGTTACAGGCCGAGAAATACTGAAGAGTTCCATTTTATCCTCCTGGCATCCCAAATGTAAGATTTTCGGAAAACAAAAAATTCGATAAAACCATTAAAAGTCGGAAAAAATGCAGTCCAAATTCAATGCCAATCCCTTTACTTTGTGTAGCAATAGCGTAGGAATGGAATCGTGTATACACTTTATATTTAAAGTTATTTAGTTCAATATCATTTGAAAAGGCACTGTCGACAGCCTTGTAAAGTGATTCATTCGTTTTTAAACAGCTTTTTTTATGAAAAGCTGCTCATGGATAACATGTTAGATCCTGTAAACTCGTCATGGAACTAGTTTTTGGTACAATAAGATTAATTATGCATAAAGAAAGGAAACAGAAAAGTAGCCTAACAGACGGATATCACAGCCTGGAGATTTGCACAATAGTGAACCGGCTCCATACTTCATAAAACCCCATGAACCGAATAAAAATAGCAAAGATGGAGATGTACTGTAGAAGTTATTTCAGGATCTAGATGTTGAGTGAGAGTGATGACATATACATTACTTTGAACCACATATTCTGACACTGCAACCATCATAATTCTGGAAATCCCTCTGAATCAGTTTACACCTCGGTGACCTCATACATAGGTTCCATATGCTGACCTGACGACTCTAACAACTTTCCAAACCAATCCTACTTCACTTAGGACCATCTCTAGAGAAAGACAATGGTTTGAAAAGCAGAATATCTCTTCTAGTCACCTCAACCTGCAAGGCATCACGGTTTCACTGACTGACTATTAATCCTTACCTACAACTTTACATTTAATCGTACGATTACCCACTATGTCGCTCCTTTTAATGTTGAAAAGTGAACAAAGAGACCTATGATAACAAAACCACAACCTTACCAAAATGTCCACTTTCTGAGGCCGTATCTAACAGCCGTAGATTAGAATAATCCAAACCATACGCGTTATTTGACAGAGAGTCGAACATTATGCCTTTATCTATGATCATGCGGTCGATGTATAACGAACATTCTTTCTGTATCAGCTCCGAAATTTCGCTATGAAAGCAGATTATTAAGGCTTACAAAACTGTCCAGCTTCGTGAAGTGGTCAGCACATTCAAATATATCATTTTGTGCCTTCAAACCAGGATTTGGTGTCAGGAAGTCCTGAAACATTGTCTTAAATTTAAGAAGGGCATTCTAAAATGTTTGTACAGGTTGTCTAGTGTCGTAGTCTGAGAGGAATATCATCAGGTACTATTAATTAAAGAAACCTCTCTTTTCTAGAAAGTCAACCTCTCAGACACCGTAGCCGATCAGCTGTCTCGCGACTGCGTGAGTTAAAGTTCATTTGTTATTATACTATACTTTATCAACACTCTCTTCGAGGCCATACGGTGTTACATGGCCTCCAATCAACAAAGTCATGACGAAGCTTTAAGTAAAGAAATATGAAAGAGGTAACTATGCCTGCGTTTCCAATCCTGTAGAAGGGTGAATATATGATTAATACTACATACCTGGCATTTCCATTCTTTTTCTTCCCGTCTCTCAATTATTCTTACTAGAGTTACTCAGTCTAGGATCTTAGACACCACATTAGTCAAGCTAATCCCTCCGTGATTATTACAGAAAGATGTGCTGCCTTACCTATAGACTGATCTATATCGGTATAATGCGAACACCTTGGATTTCTATAGCCTTTCAGATAGAATTATTACTATATTCTCCGGACTGTAAGTACTACCTATGTGCGTAGGATGAAATGGAATAAAATTACCATGTGGTATCATAAAAACTGTAATAACTTTAAACTTCTCCATGTTTTTGACTATTATTTTCTTGTTAAAGCTGTCATAATTCTATGTTTACTTTTATGTTATCAGAATATTCGTCTCAACGGATCGATTGCTTCTCCTAATAGCCAATCTGTTCTGAAACAGTTAAGTTCTGGTATGTTATTATGTTGTATATAAAGTTAGTTTTAGAGCAAAATTTGTGTCTTTATAAAAGATGTAATCTGAAATTGTAAACAGTGGTTTCCTAACTATGTAGAAGTGTAAACACTAGTATTTCTGAGGAAAAGCGCACATACTCTTTCCATCACTGTTTATTAAGAAGACATGGTATAACTTCGAAATGCAAATTTCAGTTTCGCAATTTAAGACAACTTTATTCGTATTCATATTATAAGATTTCGGGATTTTGAATTGTTTATTCCCTAAGAATGAGCTTGACTGTTGCATAAGTTACAGTTTCTTTCAGGTTGATCTACATTTTTAACAAAAGCATGATTTCGCTACCTCACTCGCTACACAACCAGGATGTTTTGCTTAGTGTCAATCTAGGTGAATTACAAAAAAGATTAAATTTCTGGTTACGGGTTAGATTGTTTGCACTTATCTTCCAGTGTTCAGCAATGATGATTTAATTTACATACAGTCTGAAATGTTACAGAGTTTGGAACATGAACCTGTCGACTACAGGTTTTAATGAGCTTATATTATTACTGTAGGGATGTACAGATCACAAATTTACATAACTGTTAGGTTCGTCGCTAAATAGGACACCTAACCAAGGGTTCACTCACGTAGCATTGTCAGAAGAACGCCTTACCAATAATTCTGGAGAATGGACTTCTTCAATTTCACTCATAATTCACCTGCATTTGTGTCACTCAGTTGAATGAAGCCAATTCAGTTAGCTGACTATCTGTTCAATAATTTTTGAAAAGAAAGTCAAAAGATAACATTAGTATGCAATTTCATGAAGACAATTTCATTTGATGTAGTTTCCCACAAAAGTTGATGCAAAAGACACTATGAATTCGATACGTAGGTTGTTCAGGCTGTTGATGAGATCATTTCAGAAGTAGAGAATTATTTAAGTGAAACCTTATGAAACGAAAATCATTCGAAGTACACTGAAACGATCTAATTAAAAATATTCATTTCGTTCTATGAGTCGATTCAAAGTATACACTAGTGATTCATACAAGTCTCTATCTCAATTTATATTACTTGTTTATTAAAGTTTGATCACTCCTCGGTTTATAAATTAATCTCAACCAACAGTACTAAGAAGACTGGATAAACTGAAAAATGAGTGATTTACAGTTAACTGGGAATTTGTTTTCCGCCATTTCAAAATTATAATTTCGCTGTCATATTATTCGCATTCACTATAGAAGAATATGACTTAATGTTGGCTAAAATAATTATTTCTTAGATAATGCAGCAAAATAGAAATCAATAATTACTTATCTATTCTGTTTTGTAAATAGGTACAAGCTGTGGCACATAATATCGATCACATATTTTATTACATTCCTGAGTGGTAAATTTCTGAATTCAAAATTCCACACAGGTGACAGCATATTTGCTACTAAAATAAACTCAGTTTTAAACAAATGAATTCTTAGCAATTTCGATATTCATTAAATGCTTACAGTTGTTTAGTGGTGTATTTAAATTTAGCTGGTTTATCAAAATCTGTTGAAGATTGCATATTTAAAAGTGTTGAATTCACTTTGTTTGGAGAGTGAATTTTCGAATTGCCTGTGAGTCATCGTAGTCTGTAGGTGTAATTATACTTGTCATCAAAGAATATGCTAAGTGCTTTCATTCTAAACAAACTCATGTATAAAAAAGTTAAGAAATATAGGAGTATTAACCTTTAAATATTCGATCTAAATAGCGTATATTAAATAATTAGACACACTGAAAAGAATATAATAGAGGGCGATTATATGGTATATCCCTTTTTTGAAGTTGCGCCACACTTATCCAGTGGTTATTAGGGCGCTTCAACAAAAACCCAAAATATACCAGCATAATTTCGTGAAAATCCGATAATATACATTTAACTTTTGAAATGACTGTCTCCCTTAATCCATAACATTGCGCAGATATCAGCACCAAGCAGTATTTTCCGATAAAATTGCTGCAAATGGAGTGCAGTTCAAGAATATAATGCCACCGATAATTTGTTTGCTGAAAAAAAATTTCTAATGCAAAATTTCATTTAAAAAGCATTAAAATATAACTTTTCATTAAACCATCATAGCAATGAACTAAAATGCTACAGTTGTCAGGGATATTCAATAAGGCTATTTAAGAATAGAACATAATGTTGAATGTTTAGCTATCAAAAAGTATTTAGAATTTGTTTGACCATTACTCGTATCGTCTTCTCTATAAATTCAACATTTTCCGTATCACTAACTGAAGAAATAATATTATGAAGTTTTTTGATTGGACACTAGTCAGTAACCAGTATAATGTGTGTGTCGGTGTGTAGTTCTATCTTGGGTGCAAAATGAATTCTATCAATCAAGTTTGCAGTGTGGCCACCATACTAGGTGGCTCATCATCAAGCTGCACTGTGAATTGCTGGTATTACTTGGTTGGAGGCAATCAACAGGAAGTCTTGGACCTGAGTTTCGTGCTAGCTGGCACTCGTCAGCAAGGCATATCTGAGTTCCTTCGAGTTCGCAGGTACGCCTTGCTGATGAGTGCCAACTAGCACGAAACCCAGGTCCAAGATTTCCTGCTGATTGCCTCCAACCATCTAATATGATGAAACGGTTGTTAGAGCAAAAGGATTTTTCTGTGTTGCAGGGCCTTTATAACTCAGTCTATATTTGTTGTATTGCTGACACTAATCTGTATATCTGAAATTGTGAAAATCTTTGCAATCGAATCTTAAAAGGTGTATAGCTTTCTTCACTTTGTCTATAACGGCTAATCTAAAAACACAGTTAAGAAATTACACAACATTTTTAGTGCCATCTACATTGCCTTTTCCTAAACGATTAAAACAACTATGATAGTTTGATTTTTAAAAAGAAGAGAACACGAAGTTCAGCAAAGATATCTTTTCGGCGATTTCATTCTCAAAAGCTGTACAATCGCATTTATATAGATTATTTTAACATGGATAGAATTATTATTTGTTTAATTTCACATAGTAACGAAGGTGATAATAATTTTCAACTTGATATGATAGTTTGAAGGTACGAATATAGATTACAAGAGGCTTAGAGACAAGATTTCATAGGATTAGAAAATAGTTACAACGTATGCAAAAAATTAATATTTGATAACTGGAGAAATAATTTTAAAGGCGAATCGAAGGTGATAATTATTTTCGACTTGATATGAATTACAAGAGGTTTAGAAACGCAGGGATTTTGATTTGATTTTTTTGATTTTTGTCGCAATCTTGTGTATAACAAAAATAATAAAACTTTGTAACTTATTCTTAACCTTATTAGCACTTACACAATTCTGAAATATGTTGGTTTATTGTAAATTGTCAGATCAGGTATCAGCAAAAGGTGAATGGGATTACCTTGACATCTTCCTCAAACGTGATTCATCTGCGGTTGGTGGATTCGGCTTTAGTATTGCAGGCGGCATCGATAATCCTATTTCAGAAGTAGATCATGGAATATATGTGACGAGAATTGCACCAAATGGATGTGCAGATAGAGATGGAAGATTAAGGTAAGATGAATGCATATAGGCTTATAATTCTGATATACTTTAGATAAATATTTGTATTGAGATGTTTGTATGTATTGTCCTAAACACCAGCAGTAGTTTTAAGGTTGACGAAGAAAAAAAAGTTTAAAAAAACTATTTTCCTCAATTACTGGACAGGTTACTGTTGACCGTTTTGCGTCAAATTTCAAACAGTTATTCCAGTTTCTTATTGTCATAGTCCTTGTGTACTTACTCAGTTATTAGACTTGGCGAATTAATTAAATCAGGCAATTCCAAATTTTTAAATTTGCTTCTATATTTTTGTTTTTTTGAATTCCAAATTCTTTTTTTTGTGGTTAAACTAGTTAATAGTTTTGAATGACACATGATCTGTGAAACAATAATTGCCGCAATACAAGTACACTATGTTAGAAGTTTGATAAAAAAGGATTAAAATGTTCCATAATGTGATTGCAACAAGGTGTGTGTAAATGATGACTAATTTTAATTAAACTGTCTCTTTGTTTCTCCAAGGAAGGATTAATAAAGTTTAACAAGAAACATTAAATGCTTTGCTTTTGTAAAATACCTTTATTGACAACTGAAAACAAATTGGTGTAACTTTTTTTTAATTATTTTTACGTTCCCCCAGTGGAACATAGGGCTTCAAGCTAGTAGCTTGAAGTTTCTGTAGCAGTGTTTATTTTACAGGATGGGTTTGCTAGCCTCATGCCCAACCTTTATGCTTTACCAGCATTATATCTGGCTCAGTGAGGTAAAGGAGTGCGTCGGTGCTGGGTGTCGAACCGCGGACCATGTGCATGGTCGGCAAGCGTCCTAACCGCTATACCACCGACGCTATAGCACCTATGTAACTCCGCTAAAATTAAATTCCGCCTGAAGACATCAGTGGCATAGAAGTGGATCCGTGCAGAGTAGACCACAAGTGAGAGACACAATACTCAGGTGTTGGTTTTGCAGTCATTTGATTGGCTTCAAGATAGGTCACAAACTGACATCACTTAGAGAATCACTGTAAACGATGGTATACCAAAAAAACCATTTCATCTTAATTTGAGACTTTTCGGTAATGCACACCCACGTCTCTACCAGGGATCGAACTCAGAACCCTGATGTTATGAGATGAGCTAATACTACAGAATCAAACTGCCCATGAAATCTAACTTCTACTGATTCCCCATTCGTAGCGCTTTTGCCAGTCAGTGTCATTGGCGAGTATTCGTCCTCACACTAAACTTAGTGGACACCTCTGATCACTACTAGTCACTAGAACGGCAGCGTCATCATCCTATAGTCATTGACTAGTGAGTAATAGGTTAATTTTCAAGTGTTGGTTTGCAGGAATATAATTGGTTTCTGGTTAGGATATGAATGGCTATATATATATATATATATATATATATATATATATATATATATATATATATATGCAGTGGTACTACAATGTTTGAACGTGAATGCTACGAGAAAGATAATTATTCGTCTTATATTTTATTATATTGTTAACAAATCACGCGGTAGTTTGTTTTCACTTATTATTTTCTCTGAAGAGTTGACGATCAAATTCTCTCTGTGAATGACATCAACTTGGAACACGTCACGAATATGGAGGCCGTAAGAACATTAAGACAAGCCGGCAATCAGTTAAACCTGGTAAGTTTTATTTTATCGCTGTAAATATTTCACTGCCTGTAGGACTATTCCAAAGCATAATTTTTGATCCTTTATATTATAGTTCTTTTTTTGCTCTAACCTTATTGTTGAGAGCATTTCCTACATAGCTGGTATTCAAATCTTGGCGTCCGTCTTAAATGTTAGTTTGATGAATACAGGTTTCAGTAATCAACGTATTCCTGAAGTTATCTAGGTTTTATCATACTTTATGATTCTGTGGTAGTACATGAATAACAGCCGCAGAGATCTTTCTGTCTTATTCACTTTACGGGAGCTACATGGTTGTGCTCTGGTTATCTAAATAACTCCAATCAGTTGATCTGATTTGAGTATTCGACTCAATTTTTAGGCAGTGGGTTCTAAAACTAGTTTTTTTCGACAATTAATCTAGGTTGATGACTTCAATCCCTAAGAGTTTTTAAGATACAATTTTCAACTTACTGCATTCCTGAGTGTTTGCGTATTTCTAGTGTTAGTGTCTGTTAGTTGAAGGATCTGTTTTAGCGATATTCAACATCAGTTTAAACTCTTTGCCAACTCTAATTGTTTCTCCTTATTCTCCTGAACCACATGAAGTAGTGGTTATTGCATAGATAATTTAATGGTGTTTTATTGTACACTTTCATTTTGTCATCTGTGTTAGTTGTTTGATATACAACATGTCAAGTTAACAGATATGTGTGTAAATTTCTTTTTCATATTATACAAAGAATTCTCAGTGAATTACGCTGCTGCTCGGCTCATTGACTTCCTTCTCCTATGATATGTCAAATGACCTTAAAACAATAATTCTAGTGATTAAACAAGAAGTATGCACTGTCATATTTTGTATTGTTCTTTGTTTTGGAAAAAATCACTTTTTAGATAGTGCGCCGGTTTGTTGGGAATGCTGCATTGACAGCATCTAATGGTGGATTACAACAATCGTCTTTACCGCTTCAATCACCTGAAGTTCTGTCTGATATGGAAGACAGTGGCTCAACTCCTATTTGGTATGAGGTAAATCATAAATGAAGACTGATTATTATCCGAATCCTCTTTACCTATATGCTACTTTTTCTCTCCACACTTATTGGTGATGGGAAAGTCTATTTTCCGAAAATATTATCTTCATTTTGAAGGATAAGAGGAAAGATGTTAGTAAACAAGGTTTACTTTTTAAAACTTAATCAATTTATGTCATTAAATTCACCATACTAAGTAACTCTTGAAGAAATCTGCAGTGATTACACTGAAAATTCAAAAGATTTCTCTAAAATACCTTTTTGACAATATAAACTCCCTGCTGAATGATACTTCATCATTTTGGAGATAGGTAGTAGGCTTTGTTGTTCAATAACAACTTTGTATTATAAGACATTCCTTTTCGAACTGTTAATTGAGCCATTTAACAACATTTGTCGCTAAATTACTCAAATTAAGGAAAACTGGTTTGAGAATTGCTTTTCATTTCACTTCGGTGTAAAATTCATCATGAACCACCATGGGTTACAAAAACCAAGAAAGATCTGGGAGCACTTGACAACTGTTTCGTCCTCGTTAGGGACTCTTCAGGAGTGTGTAGCCACAACCTCACAAGAAATTGAATCCGAGACGTTTAGACTATGAAAGCAATCTGTTGGTCATGAAACTTGAAGGTTTTGGATTCTGTCTCTAGGGTGGCTGTGTGTGCTAACTGATGAAGAATTCCAAACTAGGACAAAACAGTTGTCCTATGGCTTTTGATTCTTATTGATCCCTTCACTGATTTTGGTTTGTGACGAAATCTACACTGAAAGTTATCAGAATCCCTAAGAAATTCAAAATCTATATTTTCATTTAATCAATTTTGGGCTACCGATATCCACGCTGAAAATTCCACACTTGTACCAAAAATACGGTGTGGAATCAAGCTGTAACCAAAAAAATAAAAATAAAATAAATTAATTGCCATCCAAAAAGGATATTGAAGGGAATAGCTTCATTTTTGCGAAAATATTTGGTCGCTTCAATATGCAACACATTTGGTTTCTTCACCACTATCTTTCACCTTCAGAAAGTGGTCACGCTCCGTGTAACTGTTCAAGATCATATTTAAAATCATTTTTGCATAAAAATTATTGTGACGAAATTGAAAGGGAAAGAAGTAAATCTCCTTTTACCTGTTTCTTCCTTACGTAGTTTTGTATTTCCTAATGTAGGATAATCAATTAGGTCTTCTCATGGTAAAAAAATGAGTTTCTTGTTCGTGAAATTTGCCAGTTGAATAACTGACAGACTCTACTATATTTCATCGAGTATGAGAAAATCAGTTGACTAAGTAAACGTCGACTGTCGGTACTGTGATATATATATATTAAAGGCATATGGCAAAAGTGTTTAAGCCTAGGTTATCCCTTCCAACCTTTCAAATACTTTGTATAGTATATTAGGATGTAGTTCTTGTAGTAGTTCTTGATTTGTTCAAATTCATTAAGGGGAATAAATGTATGAAATTAGGATATGTGTTAACAGATACGGTATTTCGATTTTTTTAAGGCACACATCACCGCGTAATCATCGAATTTCGCAAGTGAAAATGACGCTGAGACTTCTAAACATTTTATCTTCAATACATTCTAAAGTTTGCCTAAATGATACCGGACATACTATTATTATCTGAATGCATACATTTGCATAAAAATAATCCAAACAGGCTTAACAAACAAAAAATACATTCAGTGTAAACTTAGTCGACAAAAATTATTTTCACAGCACTCTTAATCTTTTCTACGATGTCTTCTGATTCTATACTTATTTGGCGTTTACTATCGACAAGAATTTCCAAGTTGTACACTGTGTATCTGTTGTCTTCTGGATGAGTCTTAAACAGCAGAGAGACAAGTGAAGTTTCGATGAGGAGATACGAATGTTTCTTGTGAAATGGTATAGAAAACATGAGAAGAGAATGAAAGGAGCAGAATGCAAAGAAGGTTTACAATTGGATATTCAATGTAGTCCCTGTATCTTGTCATCTCTATATATTATTCGCCTGATACACATTCCGCCACCAAGTACTTCTGGGTTCTACCACTACGCCTGTAACTAAAAGACTTACTTTGTAATTCTAGGCTCAACTCCGTAAACCCACTCCAAATACCGGCCTTGGGTTTAGCATTGCTGGTGGGCAAGATGTGGAGAATGGAAATTTCCCTTCCACTGGAATTTTTATCACGCGTATTAGTCCAGGTGGTTTAGCTGATTTAGATGGTCGTATTATGCCTGGTGATCAATTAATGCAAGTAAGTGTTTACGTCACTTTCTCCTATAATAATAATATAATAATAATAATAATAATAATTCTCCTTACTGTGTGTCTATTGATTTATTAATTTACCCATATGATCCTGTTTGTATGTGGGTATTCAGCTACTTCAAATTGTCTAACTTACCTAATACTACTGTTGCATTCCTTTTCTCTGATTAAGTGACTACTATATCCCTGTTATTCCTAAGGGTGTTTAAGGTTTTTATCTCTCGTTTCACTAGGTTAGGCTTTCCTCATTTTCGTCGTTTTAATGTGAGTGCACGCTGTGCCTGTACTTCATCGGCCGTAGTTTTGTCTATCCAACTTAGTGCTATTTCTATTTCAGCAATGACATCCTCAGGTTTCAGCTCGTCTACCGATACAGTGAAATTTAGTCCCTTTTCTAATACCCTTATTTCTGTGGTACTTAACGTATGCGTTGAGAGATTGATAACATACTTTGTTTTACCGATCGCTATTGCCTTTAGATTGGTGATCTCATCGTTCAAAGATGGAGATTTCTCCTTCAATAACTTATTTAACTTTTTGATTTGGCTGTCTTTGACTTTTTGAATCCCGCTGATTTGACATTGTCAGAGGAGTGGATTATAAGATCGTGATCCACGTTCGTGACTGTTCCCATTGTTTTTTGATTTAACAACTTGATTTCATTTCTGATATGGTGCTACTTTTTAACGATTCTGTGGATCTCCTCTTTTATCCATAACTTTTGTAGACTTTCTATTCTGGTTCTAATTTTGTCTATCGGGAGTGGATTTCGTAGACGTAGATATTTAGCAATGACTTCACTTTTCAGACACCGAGTGTTGAAAATACTATGACTGGCATATCGTGCTTCAGTTTGCAAAAGTCGCATGAGTTTAGTGATTAGTCTTCCAACAGACCATAAGTCATATTAATATATGTGTATATGGAGTGTATATGTGTGTATATGGAGAATTCTTAAGAATGCAGTAATAAAAAAGACATTCAAACTCACATACTCAATTAGAAACAAGCTTTTTCGGTTAAAGGATCCTGTGCAGCCAATTGAACAAAACAGTTTGGTTTATCTAATACCCTGCTGGAATGATTGTCAGGTCAAATACATAGGTCAAACTAGTACGACGGGGTCTATCAGATTAGCGAAGTAAAAACACCTAGCATTATCTAGATTATTTTTGATTGGACACTAGTCAGTAACTATTGTAATGTGTCTAGCCTTATCTTCGGTGCAGATTGAATTCTATCAGTCAAGCTTCCAATGTGGCCACCATGCAAGGTGCCTCGCCATTACGGTGTACTGTGAATTGTTGGTATTAGATAGTTGGCCCGAATAAGATAAGAAATATGGAGAATAGATCAGCTATAGCACTACGTGCAATTACACACAACCATACAATAGGATGGATGGGATGAGATGATAGTTTTTCTAAATCTAATGCAACAGGGTGAAGGGGGAAATTGACAAAAAAAGCTTTTTATATCGAATCAACTGCAAATACGTGTAACAGGAATGATTCAACATCTGTCCCAGGTATCTGGAAAATTTCACTACCCATACGATAAATAGGAAGGAATATAGGAAACTACAAATTAAAAGTTTCACTATCGTGTGATTATAATAATAATAATAATAATTTTTCCTTCAAGTTCCCCAGTGGAACATAGGGGCTTCAAGCCAGTGGCTCGAAGTTTCTGTAGCATTGTTTATTTTTATAGGATGGGGTTGCTAGCCTCATGCCCGACCTTTCCTCTTTAGCAGTCTCATTATGAGTTAAGCGAGGTAAAGGAGTGCGTCGGCCGGGGATCGAACCCCGGACCATGAGCATGGTTGGCGAGCGTCCTAACCGCTGTGCCACCGACGCACCAAATTCCACTACCCATACGATAAATAGGAAGGAATATAGGAAACTACAAATTAAAAGTTTCACTATCGTGTGATTATAATTGATACGATTATGAACAGTAAATTGTGTCCGAAACGTCATGCAGTAAATAATACTGTTTCACTGTATGATATATCGACTAATTATTAACCCTTCTTGTGCTTTTCTACTTAACCTCTGTCCAAAACTTCTGATAAACAAAGGATATTCTTAAAACAAGTATTTCATACACCCGATTCCTCTGACTACTTTGAACAAAGCAAAACACGTAAACAACGAAGAAAATTTTCATTTCAAAGATTCATTTTCGTAAGCTGTAAAATCATAATTATATATAACGAAGAATTTATAAAACTACTCAGATACTGGCAAGATTCGTCCTCGAAAAGCGTATTACATAACGTGAGGTGTAATTTAGGCGGGGTGTCTGAGTGGAAGTTAGAAAAGAGGCAGAAGTTGGGATGACAAAATAAGTGTGAGAAAATGACTAATCAATATGATTGTGTAGAGTGGACAAGAACTAGTGGAATGACGATAAAATGTTTCTATAAAGTCTGTACGAGAACGCAATGTTATTAATAAACAGTAATAGAGTGATGATGAAGTATTGATCATGAGAATAATAATGACGATAATAATAGTTAACTTATATAATAAAAAGAGCAAAGCCATAGTAAGAACGTTACTCTAGCCAAAGTAAGTTAAGTAAGCTGATCTATTCTCCATATTTCTTATCTTATTCGGGCCAACTATCTAATACCAACAATTCACAGTACACCGTAATGGCGAGGCACCTTGCATGGTGGCCACATTGGAAGCTTGACTGATAGAATTCAATCTGCACTGAAGATAAGGCTAGACACATTACAATAGTTACTGACTAGTGTCCAATCAAAAATAATCTAGATAATGCTAGGTGTTTTTACTTCGCTAATCTGATAGACCCCGTCGTACTAGTTTGACCTATGTATTTGACCTGACAATCATTCCAGCAGGGTATTAGATAAACCAAACTGTTTTGTTCAATTGGCTGCACAGGATCCTTTAACCGAAAAAGCTTGTTTCTAATTGAGTATGTGAGTTTGAATGTCTTTTTTATTACTGCATTCTTAAGAATTCTCCATATACACACATATACACTCCATATACACATATATTAATATGACTTATGGTCTGTTGGAAGACTAATCACTAAACTCATGCGACTTTTGCAAACTGAAGCACGATATGCCAGTCATAGTATTTTCAACACTCGGTGTCTGAAAAGTGAAGTCATTGCTAAATATCTACGTCTACGAAATCCACTCCCGATAGACAAAATTAGAACCAGAATAGAAAGTCTACAAAAGTTATGGATAAAAGAGGAGATCCACAGAATCGTTAAAAAGTAGCACCATATCAGAAATGAAATCAAGTTGTTAAATCAAAAAACAATGGGAACAGTCACGAACGTGGATCACGATCTTATAATCCACTCCTCTGACAATGTCAAATCAGCGGGATTCAAAAAGTCAAAGACAGCCAAATCAAAAAGTTAAATAAGTTATTGAAGGAGAAATCTCCATCTTTGAACGATGAGATCACCAATCTAAAGGCAATAGCGATCGGTAAAACAAAGTATGTTATCAATCTCTCAACGCATACGTTAAGTACCACAGAAATAAGGGTATTAGAAAAGGGACTAAATTTCACTGTATCGGTAGACGAGCTGAAACCTGAGGATGTCATTGCTGAAATAGAAATAGCACTAAGTTGGATAGACAAAACTACGGCCGATGAAGTACAGGCACAGCGTGCACTCACATTAAAACGACGAAAATGAGGAAAGCCTAACCTAGTGAAACGAGAGATAAAAACCTTAAACACCCTTAGGAATAACAGGGATATAGTAGTCACTTAATCAGAGAAAAGGAATGCAACAGTAGTATTAGGTAAGTTAGACAATTTGAAGTAGCTGAATACCCACATACAAACAGGATCATATGGTAAAATAATAAATCAATTTTATCGGTCATAGCAAGCAGCCTTTTTTACTGTTGTCTTCAATTCAAAGGCTTCGCTGAGGTTCCGTTGCAGGTTACTTGACATGGGACATTTTCACAGAGATGAGTTGATAAGGGCTGGGGAACTCTGCAGTGTTGGAGCGCTTTCCATATCACTTAGTGATCAATGCCATTGAAGATCTTTTCGGAATGGATAAAGTTGAGATTTCGATTTTATCGTCATGCTGTGCTCTGTTGAATGATGACATGTTTCGCTGCAATTTGATCTGTAGATGATTTTTTCCTCCGAATCTAGCTTGTTCGATGTGGAGTTCTTCAGCCAAAGCATATTTCAGTCTTTCCACAGCGACACGACCTAATATTTTCCTTGGAGTGCACAACAGCATGATTCCACACCAATTTTCGCTAAGACTTAAATCCCTCCTCTTTTTGGTTTGAGGAGGTAGTCTTCTTCCAGTCAGTAGGCGCTTTTCTTCCTTTCAAGCTTTCTCCAATGTTGGTGTGAGGTTTTCAGTTTCAGTTTCTGGATTCGTTTTCAGCGCCTCAGCAGGACTTTTGTCTGGTCCCGATGCCTTCTTAGCCTTCAGTAGTTTGACTGAATTCAAGATTTTTGCTTTCTTTTGAAAACTGGTTCCCCTGGCAGTTCTATGGCTGTTGGTGCTGTTTCTCCACTAGTTGCAGGTGTTGGTCTATTCAAGAGTTCTTTGCATTTACCGGCCCATTGTTTTCCCCGTTTCTTCTTTTTGGTAATTGGGTTCCTCCGACTATCTTTCATTGTTTATCTCCCCCGAATAGGGACGCTTCTATTTAATTTAATGTTGTCTCTTACCTGAAGCCTGTCCTCCTTCAGTTTCAAGGTGTCATAGCATTGTCTTTTTCTCTTCCTGTCACTCTTCCTCACTTCCTTATTCAGTGAGTTGTACAATTTCATCTTCACACTGGTTCACCTTCTGTCTTGCCATTCCTCTGTCCTCTGTTGGCTTCCTTGTTTGCCACTTCTTTCTTCTTACGGCAGATATACAACCTTTCTTCAGCATCATTTTCAGAGAGTTCATAGGTCTTCCACACAGGTTTCCTCTGTGATGGTACATAGTGTCATTGATTTTGCTCTGATGGCCTCGGTAAAGGTATCCTTTGTCGGTTTTCCCTTGACTTTCAGAGTATCCAACTTGAATTGCTGTCTATCTCTAGTTGCCTTGATTGCCTTCAGCTAGACTTTGAAGATTCCTTGCATTAGATAGTGATCTGAGCCCACATCTACGTCTCTTCGCGATTTTGTGTCCAGTAGACTGAGTCTCCACTTCCTTGTGATTGAGATAAAGTCTAACGGATTTTTGATGTTTCCATCTGGTGAAACACATTTCGCTTTGTGTTTATCCTTGTCGTTGAGCACGCTACCTCTAATCACCAAATCTCTAAAGACACAGAAGAGTTCGTCTTCCTCCAAGCAATTGCTTCTTGGTCCATGATGAATTGTCTTCCTGTGTTGTTTGATCCTCGTTTGAAATTTATATTGCCCTTTAGAATTTTGACATCGCTATCTGGTGTCTTGTCCACTACTGTTTGCAATCGCCTGTGGAAGACTTCCTTCTTCTCCTCTGGGTCTGTGTTGTTTGGATGGATGCAGCTTTCCTGCCTTTTCGTCTGGATCTTTCTGTTATTATTCTGTAGTAAATTGATTATCTCTGAATAAGAGCTTTCGATACTGTTGGTAACATCATGATATCCACTCAGTGTGCTTGTGATTGTCGTCCAGGTGACTGGAGTAGATTGTTAACTCTCCAGTTAGTGATTTGGGGAATTCACCTCCTTTCAACATGTTCTCACAGATTTCTAGCACTTCTATATGCTATATTCCCATCCTTCTGGCAACCTAGGCAGTCTTCCCAGATTCTAACGCTGTGCAAACATTCCACGTCCACAAGCTTATTCTTGCTTTTATCTAAAGAAGACACATCGGCTGACCGGATTCCTGAGGGCTCAATCAACCCTCAACATTGTTCTATCCAATTCTAGCAAAGAATAACTTCATTTTTTACATTTTTTTCACTTTTAAGTTTCAGTAGTGATTCAGCTGATTTTCTCGGTAAGGTTCGCCAGCCCAGTGTCCAACCTTCTCTCTTTTTCCTGGTATATGGCCGAGTAGTAAAGTAGTGAACTAGCGTGCTAGGTGAGCTTCACCGTGACTTATTCATTGTCGCCTACTGATTTGCATGATTTAGTTCCTTTTGTTTGTTGGTAATTAAACGAACTCCTTTTATTATCAACATCATACATGTTAGATGTGTAAATTAAATCTCAGTTTGCATTTTGTAATTTTCATCATTAAATGACTCGTTTAATAGCAGTATTTTAGTAATCGAACTAGCCATGAATGTCTTGCGTCAAAATGACCGAATAGTCCTAGGTTGAATAAATAAGCGATTTATTTGGCTCTTTTTTCAGCCCTAACATATTTTCAATGTTTATTACTCTTTGGATCAAAATGATTAGTTTTAAAGTGGTAGTTTAGCTTTTCTCGACCTATTTGTTATGAAATACGTGTGATACAAAGTAGGGTTACATTTGTTATATTAGTCAGTAGTTTGCTTGGTGAATTATCCAACTCATTAAATTTCATCTTCGAATACTAACTCTGTGCTTTACAATGTTTGAATCAAATAGGTGAATGGAATTGATCTCAGTCGTGCTACTCATGAAGAAGCTGTTCGAATACTGCGTAATGCGGGAGATATTGTAAACTTAGTATTGACGCGTCAACAAGTGCAAGCTTTCGCCGATGATGACGGCGGTTCAGTTAGTGGGGATTCAACACGCAAATATCAAACAGATTTTGATCGGAAATTCTCGTGAAAAACTTACTGTTCAGAAATTATGTGCCTACTGACTTCAATTCTCTTTTTGTATAAAGTTTCTGCTTATACATATATATATATATATATATATATATATATATATATATATATGAATTGAATAATCGGGTAGAAATTATTTAACAAAGGGAAACAATGCATTTGGGTAAGGAGTATAAGTCAAACAAATCCCTGGTTATTAGAGGCTCCGGGTTCATCGGTTACTAATTTTGTTTTTACCCAAAGACAAGTTTTATTTTCAGCTTAGATTATCATTCCATTAGACTAAGATGGTGGTTACAAATGAAGCTATTGTAGTATTTTTCTCAAGTGAGGCTTGGTAAAAAGGATTTATAGTAAGATTATCGAAACAACCTCTATCCGACAAGGCAAAGTGAAAGAATAGCGAGGCAACCCAACGAACGCACTATAGATCTGGAAATGACCAGCTGGTTTCAAAAGAAGAATTATAGTCTCTTACTAAACCCTAGTTCCTCAGTTATCGTAATCAATCCATTACCTAACTACAGCCCCCTCTTCCCCTAGTCGAATCCTCAACATTCCTAATCTGCCTGTAACTCAACCCCAACCTAACCCTTAATTAACCAGATATCACGTTTGATATTCTCGTAGTTCTATCAGCATTACTCTACGAATATAGTATCTTCCATCTGGTTTCACTAACATTTTCTGCATCTGCGTTTCACAGTCACTGATGTGTTCATTCCCCTGCATCGCTCTACGACAGGACTCCAGGTGAACATAGAGAAGACACAAGTGATGAAGACAACCAATGAGCAGCAACAACCAGCACCAATCACCATTAAATGGAGGGATTTAGCAAAGGTTACCTCCTTTACTTATCTAGGTGGTCAGCATAATTTCAACTACAGGCGAAACGGATGAAGATTCATAAGTTAGAATCGGAAAGGCAAGTTACGTCTTCATCAACCTGAAAGCAGTTTGGAGATCTTTTGCACTCAGCATGAGGAACAAGATTCGGATTTTCAACGCAAGTGTCAAGTCGATCCTTGTATGCGGGTCAGAAACTTGCACTGAATGTCACGAAAAGGATTTCCAACAGGTTGCAGATTTTCATCAACAGCTGCTTTCGCTTGCTCCATACTGAAAATTAAATGGCCGCCCAGAAGGAATAAGCGACAAGACACTTTGGTAACAAACCAACTACAACAAATATGTAGGAGAAAATGGAGATGGATCGGGTATAAAATAAAGTATAATTATATTTCAATAGTTTACACACAATGATAAGTTTTGTTATTGGTAATATTTCGAGCAAAATTACTGCCCGTGTTCACACCACTGTTGGAATTGTTTTATTCACTCACATTTATGATTTGTACTCAAATATATACGTTGAGAAAACCGTCGAATGAAATCGGGAGCCAGGCCATTACTCGAGTGGAATCCGAATGGGGAGCGACGAATGGTTCGTCGGTGCGACGGTAACATGGAGGAGACAGTGTGAGGAAAAGATGAGAGATCATGGGCGATCGTGAACCCAGCTGAAGAGGATACTAGGAAACAGAACAAAGTCGAGATGTGTTGTTGAGGTCCTATGTTCCACTCCGTAAAAATTCTAACAAAATGACTCCGGATAACTTACATAAATTCACGGAATTTGTAATTTCAATTAATAAGGCTTGAAATTATTAGTTGTTAGATTGTCGCCACATATACGATGACTGATAAAATTACTCGTAAATAAACTGAAGAAATATTAACAGTAGAACTCTTTAAAAGCCTTAGCGTGTTTGTTAAATTTCAGAAATGTATTTTAGTACCCCCCAATTCATTTCTTACACAGATTTTTTAAAATTCTGATTCACTCTGGTGTATGTGTGCCATTAGTATCACTGATTGTCACTCTTTATTTGTATAGCGTTGTTTCAAGCTTTTAAAATCCAGGACATAAGCAAACGTGACACTATTTTAATAATGTTATTATTATTATTATTAATTAGCTGAGCAGATAATTTCTGATCATGGTAATTAACTATGATTTAATTTCCATTGGTGATAAAACAATTGATTACTGTAACGTTTATCAGCTGATAGGAAAACCAATTAACCACGAATTCTAGCTCCACCACCAGCCGATATCATCAGTATTTCATTGGTTCTAAATGGTTATTTAACTGATATCAGTAAGTAATGAAACCTAACATGATGTGAATCTAATTCCTACAAACCAACATTTAAATAGATAAGACTTGGATCGGTGAAGTTTGAATTGCTGAAAACATTTATTGGTGCGTTAAAAGAAAATAAAAGGTACAGCAGAAACACTGTCCAGCTTGAAGTACACGATAGATTTTGTTTCCTTTAATTTCCGAAAAGTCATTGCTCGTCAATGGAAAATTAAATCTAGCACGAGAAGTAATGTTATTATCAAAAAGAAGCATCCTAAATAAAAGAAATTTTCCATGAGAGTTGAGTGAAATGATTAATATCAGTGTCATAGATACTACTTTAGTTGTGACTGTCCAGTTTAAAGTTGAAATATCAAACAAAATAGAATGTTGACAATCATGTTTTTCACACCGATTGTTTGTCGTTTGACATAGGATGGGTATATGTGTGTTTTTACTAAAGGTAGCGTGATATTAAGAAGAAAGAAGGTAACTTTTGCCAAAATAAGTAATAAAGTTGCATCTCATCGATTGCTCCAAAAACTTGACTTGCTGGAAGTAAAATAATCACCGTACTAAACTGAATTCTTCTGCATGATCCATTCAGTTTAAAATGCCCTACAACGACCAAATGAATCGGTTGTATTGTACAAGAAATGTTGTATCAGTAGAGTGAAGTTTAATCTCAAGTGACATTTGTGTGATGCATCATCAATACGTCCAGCAAAATCATTCGTAGATTAATAGAGCGTTGCATAAATCATCATAGTTAAAAAATGACCTTGTACATCCCTAGCTGTTTCGCTATTGATGTAAATGTAATTAAATCTGAGTTTCTTTTAGAAATCCATATAACAGATAAAAGTAGAATACTGGATGAAAGTAAAACTAATATGATCATTAGATATTCAAATCACATGTAAAGTAGGGATGAACCTTTGAAGAAACTAGTCTACTTTTTTCCGAGACAGAACGCCTTTATACAATGCATTTCATTTGCCATAGTACAACGCCTAAGTAGATTTTATTAAAGCAAAATTGCATTCAGTTTATTTGACTCACTAGGAAAGGTTGAAGTTTTGTCTGTAGATTTTAAATCGAAGTAGGTCGTTACTTAGATTTAAAGGCATTAATTGCTGACCAGATTATAAATGGGTTTAGAAACTAACGAAACAGTTTTTTCCAAAGGCTGTTTACTGTCCTAGGTCGCTTAGCTAACTAGTTACCGTATCTTAATAAATGTGTAAAACTTGGGCACTGTGGTAGTAAGTAATTCCATATTAGTTTGTTTATTATGAAATTATATGAAATTGATATGATTATGAACAATAAATTGTGTTCGAAACGTCATCCAGTATATAATACTGTTTCACTGTGTGATATATCTAATAAACAAACTAATATGGAATTAGTTACCGCATCTTGCATGAATTCTTCAGAAAATGAATCTCATTAAGTGAGCTTTGATTAACAGCAGAGAAATGTTCTTCAGATCATATAACACTGAATAAGGATCACTCAGAGTTTAGAAGTGAACAAAACCGAAGACTGTCTATTTAAACACAACCATGGGAAACAGTAAGTATTCGCCTCCTAAGCCGAGATTTTGTAGACTACTGAAGTGGCTATATGAGTTCTCTACTGTTCATAAGTGATAACAATTGCATGATAATGTTTAGTCAGTGACTTAGTTAGGAACATTTAATTAGCTTCTGAGTCCATGGTTAAATTTTATGGAATGGCATCTGTTTTGGAATTATTTTTCTTCCAAATTCATAGTATTTTATATCCTGAAGAATGGGATGCCATCTCATCAGACAGCATAAAATTCACTGTTAGTTGGAACTCAGAGGTTGAATAAAAAAGAAATACAAAACAAGCTTAATTTAAGTAAATTAATGAATACCAAAAGAAATTTAGTTAGATCCAAGTTAAACAATGCATACTGCATGAATTCACTAAAACAATCGGCCCACAGGCTGCGACATTCATTTTTGGGTGTTGGCTTCCACTGTTCAAGTCATCTGAGTAAGCTGGAGATGCACTGACAAGCAGCCACACCATTCATTCGGATGTCCCAGTGAGATTATCAGTTAAGTATACATCACTGCCCAGCATTATCGACCCGAAATATATTCTCAGTTTCGGAAAACCAAATTAATTTTCTGGTCACATTGGAAAAGAAGATTAAGGGATGCAGAATTATGTACAAGGACTATAATATCACTGTAATCTACATGCTCGCCGATATCCTTCAACTTCTGAGCATGACGTGATTTTAGAGAAGCGTGCATTGACAGCAGCCTCGGTGCCATTCCTGATTAGGAAATTCACCACCGACATTTGTATATTGTCTACGACAGACTGATTTCCTACAGAGTAGCGATAAAAGAATAGTGCACTGTCCACTTCACAAAACTAAACATAGGGCTAAAATTAATGGATCAACTTAAAATTAACTAAATAAACATCTTGGCCATCTGAAGATTCTTTAGGTGTTTAAGGTGCTATGTGACGGGTTCGCGTCTGGTTGTGTTCCAATACTATTTTGCGCTACTTTCTCGCGCTTTTCACATGCACATTCTCTGAGTCCGTAGTTCGGCCATACTACCCAGATAGGTTCTAAGTATCTACCCTGAATAACGTTAGGTTTTCTACGCAAATGTACTTTTCAATAGAACGCAATACTAAATAACTACGTCTTTCTAATTTGTGTTTTGCCATCAGAACTTAAAGTCAGGTAGTATAGTGGTTTATAGGTAATTAGGCCTACCACGTTTGGTGAAGTTGAAAAAGTGCAGCCAATCAGTATCAACACTATTATTTTACAAACATTAAGAAATGTCAATTAAGCGTGAAATCTCTCGATTTTCCAGGGTGAACATCTAAAAATACGGTATAGGCACACTACTCAGCCAAATGGACGCGATTTGAAATTTGAAATATCATAGCACTATTAACGGCCTGGTAGGTCTTGCTAATTACAACTGGGTCCTTTTTTAAATGCAGCCTCTGATAGACCACCTTCGTTTGAATATCAAGAGTGTGAACCTCGATGCATCTGTTAGAAACCTTTTCGCTCGGGTTGAAAAGCCTTCGCTAACGAATAAGGACTTAATGATACCCCTGGACATATCAGCTGATGCATCAGATGTTGCATTATGTGGAGTCCTAAGATAAGTGGTGAGCTACAGTATCCAGCCAGCCAGCAGCATTTTCTCAAACGTCTGAAGACCACAGAAACAAGGCACACTTATCTCGATTAGCAACCACCGGCCATGTTATGTAGATTGTTTGTATTTGCAGAAAAGAATC